CCTTTTAAAAAATTAAACCAGGAACCTAAAATGATAATATAAAATATCTAATAATTGTTTGTTATTATTTTGGATCTTTTATAGCTTAGATATCTTCTGCAAGTTTTGTTCACGAAGTTGCATGTGTGATTGCCATATCATAAAAGTGAAAGTTATCTTCAAATCTTTTTCTGTTGGTTTAAAAGGGAAAAAAAAAATAAAAAATTAGAATTTTATAGCAACACGTGAACATAGAAAATGTTGAGCACAAATAAGAAAAATTAAGAAAAGGGTAAAGTGGAAAAATTTATTCTGATAGGGAGGTATTTGTAATTTTCAAAAGAGGAAGGAATGTCTTGTATATTAGAAACCTAATATACTCATTAAAACATAGCGTCTTTAAAATTTGACATTACTTTATTGCATAAAAACATGCTAATATCCTTTTCTATCATTCGTTATTCTAATCGCACTCATAAGTAACCACTTATCAAATGAAGTGGCAAGAAAGTAACCATATAACCAATACTACATTTATACGAAACAAGGCGTAATTGTATTTTTTAAGTAACTATTTTAGCTTAGCATAGCCGTACGAGCACATTGAAAGGGAATGGGGGAAGGGACAAGGAAGAGTAGAGTCAATATGAGGTGATGCACGCGCATATACATGTTGTACTCTTGTAATGCCTCTCATTTTTCTCCTTTGTGACTTATGCCTAAAAATAGAGAAGGATGCATTCATCCTAAGAGGAGGCGTCTTGTGCTCATGATTTCTGAAATATGTGTGTGTGTGTGTGTGTATAATTGTTGCATACTGTAAATATATGGTGGCTCCTTGACATGCCCCTATTTCTTTTATGCCAGTAAGGAAGAGAAGACAATAAAAACCATAGCGTCGTCTTTTCTTATTGGTTCAGAACAAAGGGTAATGTCGAAGAAAATTTTGGGTAGGATTTAGGAAGTTAATCTAATCTTCTGACTTTTTAATTCTAGCCCCCCGTATTTGGAGTTACCATACGTAGTCAAATAAATAGAGAAGAGCCCTCAAATACGTCACATGAAGTCGTGTCAAGATGTTGCCAAATAATTATCATGTTCTAAGTTTCTATCTTGTACAGTTATCGAAAGCCTCCTGTGCTTGTTCATAGTTTCCCAAATCTTTTGCAACTTCTGCTATTGAACTTATCTACTTTTCTAGGTTGCTGAAATATAAAATAATTAGTTGGTCCATGTTGGGTATTTGCTTGCTATTTCTTGATTCCTGTTATTTTAAATTATCATCTTGTAATGCTTTGTTTAGGAACGCTGGCAAAATATACTGGTGGTCAGGTTTATTATTATCCAAGTTTCCAGTCTACCATTCATGGAGATAAGTTGAGACATGAGTTAACCAGAGATCTTACAAGAGAGACTGCATGGGAGGCTGTCATGCGCATAAGATGTGGAAAAGGTGAATTTTAATTCTTGTTCTGTGGTTCCAGTGGCAAAATGTCATTGCTTCTGCTTTAATTGTAAATAAATCAATAATATTGTGGGGGTAATATGCTGATATTGATAGCAATATATCTCTATCTGTAGGTGTTCGTTTTATGTCTTATCATGGAAATTTTATGCTAAGATCCACGGACTTAATTGCGCTTCCAGCTGTTGACTGTGATAAAGCCTATGCAGCACAGCTATCTCTTGAAGAGACGCTACTGACAACTCAGTCAGTGTATTTTCAAGTTGCCTTATTGTATCCTCATTTTGCATAAATATGTGTAGTTGTACTTGTATCCTGTGGCATACAAAGGGTTTGATCGTCTGTTGGCATCATTTTATTATTTTTAGTACTCAATACCCATTGCAAAGTGTAAATGTTGTCCTCTCTAACTGTTTAAACTTTTAGGTCTAGTGGTTCAACATGGTATAAGAGCAAGCAAAGGTCCTGAGTTAAAGTTTTGATGCCACTTATATAAATAAAATTCTGCACGTGTTAGGCTTTGATGGAAAAAATGAATGTTGCCTACACATGAAGAACGTGTCTAAAACAATATTTATATTATTTGAATGTTACCCTATCTAATTAGTTACGTTTTTACATCAAGTGGTTTAACACAACAAATATTACTCACTCTCTTTTCTCTACAGCCTCGAGTCCTCCTTGAAATACTTCATGAATTCAAAGGGGTCTGCTTTTTATGGCTATGAAACTGATTCCTATTCTATCTCTTTGATGTGCTAATATGGTTGTTTTCCCTGCTTCATTATGTTTAAGAACTTCTTATAATTTGAAGATGCATATTCAGCATTTCTTTTTGATCCTTGGGCAAGTTGATTGGAGTATATAAATAATTTGACTCCCTTAACCCTTTGGAAGATATACATCATCTTCTGGAGAAAGACGAATTAGAGTGCATACTGCAGAAGCTCCAGTAGTTGCAGATCTAGGAGAAATGTATCGTCTGGCCGATATTGGGGCCATTGTTTCTTTATTTTCCAGGCTAGGTAGAAAACTTCTCCCTTGAGCACCTGCCACACCCCAACCCAACAAAAAAAATAAAGATCTGGTTTTTATGCGACTTAAATAGTAAGTTGTTGATTAATGTTTGTCTTAAATGAGTATTTTATACAACTTGGACTGCAGCAATTGAAAAAACTTTGTCCTACAAACTGGAAGAGGCTCGGAATGCCGTTCAGCTTCGGATTGTCAAAGCCCTCAGAGAATATCGAAAGCTTTATGCTGTCCAGCATCGTTTGAGTGGAAGGATGATATACCCAGAATCACTGAAATTCTTACCCTTGTATGGATTAGCGTTATGTAAATCAAGACCCCTCCAAGGTGGTTATGCTGATGCTCAGCTTGACGAACGCTGTGCAGCTGGCTTTACCATGATGGCTTTACCTGTGAAAAATTTGCTGAAACTTCTCTATCCCAGCCTGATTCGTGTTGATGACCATCTTTTAAAAGTAAGTTGCTATATTGCATTAACTAATTGTCTTCCTTGATGCTGCTTTTATTGTAGATTTCTGAAGCATATCTTTCTCACCAATCTGCAGGCATCTTCTCAGACTGAAGAATTTCCCAACATTTTGAAGAAGAGGCTGCCACTTACTGCAGGGAGCTTAGATACCAGTGGCCTTTATATTTATGATGATGGGTTCCGGTTTGTCATATGGTTTGGCATGTCACTTTCACCTAGCATAGCCAGAAATTTGCTGGGGGAAGATTTTTCTGCAGACTACTCTATGGTAGCTTCTTTTACAATCTTAATATATTATCCCATATATTAACCTTTTTTGATGTCATCAGAACTCTTATATTTTACTGGGTGATGGTTTGAGTAATTTATAGACTTTCTTTCAGCTTTTGACCTTCCCTCAGTCAAGGCAAGATTTATTTTCGAAATTTTGAGTTGAGGTGGAAGTGGAATGTTCCTTTTTATTGGACATAAATCAAATGTCAAAAGGCTGAGTTTTTGGCTTTCTGGACCCAAGCATTAATTAAGTGCTTAAATCTTTGTTTTATTCTTAAAATAATCCCTGTATGATCAACTTTCTCAGAATTAATGTTTTCTTTGTTAAATAGGCATATGTCCCTTGAGTATGCATAATTTCAATGCTTGAAGGAAAAATAAGTGCAATTACTGTGATAATACTTTCTTTATTATGTCTTACCTTGGAGAGACAGTTATAAACTGTCTATAATCTATTTCACAAATAAAAAATTAAAAAATTTAGTCTCCACCTCCAGCCCTTCTACTGAAAAAAAATAAAAATCCTAAACACAACAATGCAGATAGGTTGCTTCTCTTTGCTGTTGCAATTCTCCTTGCTATGAATATTCTGATGTGGCTTTCTATGTTGCTCCTGAAAATCAGGTTACCCTTTTGGAGCGTGACAATGAAATGTCAAGAAAGCTAAAGAGGATACTTGAAAAATTAAGAGAGAGTGACCCAGCATATTATCAACTATGTCATCTTGTGAGGCAAGGCGAGCAGCCCCGAGAAAACTTCTTTTTACTTACAAATTTAGTGGAAGACCAGATCAGCGGTGCTAGTAGCTATACTGACTGGGTTCTACAACTACACCAACAAGTCCAACAGAAAGCGTAACATACTGGTAATGGTCTTCTTGGTCATCATTTAATTGTACCTTATGCTCAAATAAAAATACTCCCTACTAGTTTGTTTGGTAAGGATGATTATACTGAACTCGACAGTATTAAAGATGAAAAAGATATATGAATGTCGGACATTGGACTTCCAATCACATACAATATCGTACAGCAGTATACATGTTCTGCATGCATACCAAGAGCAGGAACCTCTTTTTTCCTATTTTTTTGGGGTGGGGTGGCATCTCAACGTGTTATTTCATGGAGTTAAGTCACAAATTTCCAATAGGTTTTTTATCATACAAATGGTGCAATTCCGTGATATTTCTGCTTTTTTAAAGTCCTATCACGTTTTCATCATAGGGATGTTTCTTTGTTTTATTCCCATTTTAAGTCATTAGAAGTCAGTTCTTTTATAACTATATACAAGCGATGTCTCCTTTGTTGTTACAGTACAATATTAACTAGAAATTTACTAACCAAGAGTCTGTCCATATTGAAGTTTTTGATATATACAAAATCCACTTTTTGTATGTCAGTATCTATACTAATCCTATGAAAATTTCCACTTCCACAACACTTATTCATGCCATTTTCTAGTTTCACGATCCTGACGAATCTATCAACAGCCGCCAGTGACAGTCAATTAAGAATTTTGAAGCAAATTTTAGCTGCTCATCAATTTCCAGATGGTTGGGTATCACAGTAAGAAAGCTTTGTGGAGCAAATAAGTTATTTGTTCATGGTGAGACTGCATAATTCATGTACAATTTATTGGCGAATCGACAAAGTCTGGTGTGTGCTCTTGGAATGTCCATATCTATGAAGGTTCTCTGGGTTTTAACTGGAAGGAGATTCAAGGAGGCAGTTGTTCCAAGGTCTGAGGATAAAGTGTTCAAGTTGAAATGAAAAATATATAGTTTTATTTTCTATTTTGTG